TTTCATTTATTTTCAGTATGGCCAAACCTATCAATTGGCGGTGTTAACGCTGGATGAAACTGGTGACACAGTATATGAAAGTCTAACAAAAACTAGAAGGATAGAATTTGAAAGGACATTGTCGTTCTACGGAATTCATAATAGTATATATCCTGTCATTGAAAGAGTACTGGAGAGTAAGAATATGAAAGTAAAATTTGCCTCTCCAGCTTATATTTACAGCATTCCAAAAGAGAAAGCAATGCTTTTTAATATAGAGTAAGTAACTTTGTGAAAAAATTGAGAAAGTTTTCCATATGGAATATTTCTAGAAAATAGTAGTCATGAATAACTGTACTAAAAACTGCCAAATAGTTCATATGATTTGCGAATAATGACAAACCGTTATCACATAACTCACATGACCATACTGGCCTGGAAGGCAATGAGGCTGCTGACTCCCTTGCAAACGAGGGTGCTGCAAGCAGCTTCATTGGACCAGAATCTGTCATTGACATCTCTTTAGGCTTTGCCAAACAAAAATTGAACACCTGAATGGCAAGAAGATGTATGGACTTCTGGCAGAATCTTCCAGGCTTGACTCACTCCAAGGCGTTCATTCACCCTTCGAAGGTTGATACCAAACAGTTGTTGGACTACAGTAGGGATGAACTACGATGTCTAACATGCCTTCTTACAGGTCACTGTCATTTGAATCATCATATGCAGAGACTTGGACTGTCGGAAGACAGTGTGTGTCGCCTCTGTCTGGAAAATTATGAAACAGCAGAGCATANGTACATAAAATTTGTATAACAATTTTTTTCACAAGCACTAAAAAAGTTACAATATTGAAATTAATCTAACGTTTTGTACTACCAAAAAGACACTAAGTCATAAATTTATTTGGTTTACCTCATGGTATATGATGGAATCGGCCGATACTTGATGAAAATCCATAACTAACGTATTCCAAAAACACTTTATTGTGAGATTTTCACTAAATTGTTTTACAAAAACGCAACACGTGTTTCGCCATACAATGGCTTCATCTGGCGTGTCTTTCAACTCTTTCAACAAGTTGAAAGACACAAATCTCACAATAAAGTGTTTTTGGAATACTTTTGCATGGTAATTTAAATCCTCATTTTATTGGACTATTTTGTTATTTCCCTCAGTTGACAGCACCGTGTCAGACAGTACTAATGAACATGGACTAGGAAAAATTGAGTTGCTTGTTAGGGCAGGTTCAAGGATATCCAGAAGTTCTGAAAATTTGCCTGGAGTCATTCGGAAATACTGTAGACATTTCTTCTCATCTTCTTTCAGATCGTTGAGAAGATGATGAGATTCTCCCAGATTTGCCACCTTCTGATTAATGGAATGGACCCACAACATTCTTTTTTGGGACTATTTTCTTCTACATCCAATAATGCGGCAACTATTATAATGACAACTTCTTCGACAGAACTGCTAGTGATAGACATGTTTCTGTCACCAATCGATATCAACTGAAACTCCCTCGAAATCGAATAAACAGCACCTTCAGTATGCTGGTTGTAGCTGGACAAGTGGGCGATGCTAATACCCGTCGCCATCAGGTAACGGACAGCGCCGTGCTGTGCTGTGCTGTGCCGGACAAGTGAGTGACAAGCTTTATACATCCTGGGTGAAAGTCGGATATTCAGATCGGATATTCGCCCAGGATCTATAAACCTCTGAAGAAGCTAGCCACTACAAAAATTCACGGCTTTCGAACCCGAACAATATTGACACTGAAAACCTCGGCCGAAAAATCCTCAACCATTTTGTTAAGTAGTTCAGTTATAACCTTGCTTTGTTGAATTCTATGACGGTTGTAAGATAGGAACCTGGACTTCAACTATGGTTCTACAACTGCGCCCTATTATGGATATAATTTTTTTGGCTTAGAAAAAATATCTGATGAGTAATCATTTTCAGATGTCCGGAAGATATGAAGTTAGGAGAGATCGAACTGCGTCACTCCAAAAAAATCCACTCTGGATGGTCCTTCAAGGAATATCCGCAATCTTACGAGTTTGTGTGTTCTTTAATTGACAACAATGGTGGCGTAGGTTTATTCCTGAAATCTACTGATGAACTAGTTGCGTGGGTATTGAAAAGTGCTTTAGGTGAACTAGGATTGCTACATACTTCGGAAAAATACAGAAGCAAAGGATTTGCTTCAATTGTTATGAAACAACTGAGTAGGCAGATTGCACAAGAAGGCGAAGATCCCGTAACGAGTATATTACTGACAAATGAAGCGTCGAAAAAGCTGGTCAAAAAATTGGGATTCAAAAACCAGGGTGTAAGCTACTGGTTTTCTGCGGAAAGAGCAGATACGGACGAATAACAGTTTAAATTCATTTTTGAATCCTCTCTTCCAAATACAGGGTCTTAATGCATGATTCATCAAAATATATTTACATATGTTAATATACAGATTGGTAAATTATACAATACTTACCCAAACTAACTGGACTATATGTATGTTCTATTTTTCATTCTATTTGTTTTTCTTTTATTTTTATTCTTCTTTCTTTATTTTTCTATTAATATTTATGTCTCCGCTCATGTATTAAATTTTTTTAGGCTTATTGCGTTAGGTCATAATATCTAGGGTGGGTTAATAGTAGGTATGTTTCTATAGAATCCAAGCAACTTTATATTGCTTCAGCCCGCGATCTCATGATTTTTAGAGAGAGTAATGTACAATTCAAATTAAGACCAGGAGGATATAACAAACAAGTATATGTACAAACTAGAAGATTGTTATATGGGTGTCNGATAGATGAGTTTCGGGTAGACTCTCAGGTTTACAGATGCGTCAGATTCTCTCAAATTAAGTTTTAATTACTCCGCTCTTCTGTCTGGCTGATGGTTGGAGTTATCATCCGGATACATGTCTGACACAATGTTCCTAGTATATCTGAGAAGGCAATGGAGTAAGTACCCAGATCTCCGTACATTTATCGGTAAGTCTGGGGCATACCAAAAAATCAGCAGTAACGGAACATTCATTCTAAGAAAGTACCTACTTCATCGCGTTTGTAGAGGCTCAAGTCCTCAACAGATTAATTTACTCTCCAATACAATATAGGGAGGCAATAGAAATTGAGAATCACCAAAATAATTCAAATCGAAAGGAAGAGGAAAGCAACATTGATAAACTCTGGCTACCTACACTCAATTACTCTCGTATCAAGTCATTTAACTCAACTAGGAACGAAGCCACACTTCCCACCAATTGAGTAAATTCGGAAACCCCAACCAATTCTGCTTTGAGGACAACCAAAAGTTGACTCATAGCCTTTGATCATGTCTACCGCAGACGTAGATGAAGCGTTAGGCATAAAAACCGGCAGAACAAGGCCAACAAACCCGGAAAATAGCTTTGATGCAATTATCTCCGACCCTGAAAGTTTACGCTTTTTGATCACTCCCCTTTCAATTTCAGCGGAACCCAATTATTTCTATTTATATGGAATTTTTACGAATTACATGTATTCACTGGTAACTTTCTGGTACTAATAGTTAATGTTCGCGGTAATTCCATTTCATCCAGGTTAGTTTCAGTCTAGCGACTGGAAATTCTGTCTTTCTCAAACTATTTCTGTTATCGTTCAATTAGCATACTGAAAGTAGGCAAATATTTTTAATTAATTTCCAAGCGGATTGAAGCTATCTCTGCATGGTCAGTAACCATGAGAAAGTAGGGAACGGAACGTTTCTAATTAATTCAGCAACCTGCGACAGACCAATTAACTCGGTTTGGTTTTTGATACTGAACAACACTGACCACAGTAATACCACTGAGTTTGACTCAATCAGCAAAAGCCCGCTAAAAACGCATATCTCGCTACTTTCAAGACCTGAAATGATTCTTCAAACATAATGGATAAGTTGATTAGGAACAGAAAATATGGAAAGTTTCTTCGTGAATCCTCTACTTTTTAGAAATACGAAGACTCATATTTATAGTTCTTCGATACGAACCA